GAATCACATCACCAATGATTTGACTCAACAGATTTATTACCTTTTCCCAAAAGATTTTCACATGTGGACACTCCCATATACAGTGAAATAAAGTGCCTGTCCACTCCACACTTAATACAGGAGTCTGGGATGTTTGAGTTAAAATGATGCATTTTTGACAGAGTAAGATATTGTCTTGTTAAACATTTATATTGAAGTAGTTCAGATTGCACGTTAAATGTCTGACTCTGGGCCAAGGAGCATGATTTATACCGCTCATCATCAGATATATCCATTTGCCTCTAAAGTAGACGGTGTTGATTCTTTGGCATTTTCCATAAATAATTTGTACAATGCAGAAACTTGGCCTCTCCCATTTAGATGCTTTATAACTGTGTTCTCTAGAGAGGAGTAGGTGGGGATTTCTAAGCTGTTGTGTGGTTAAGATAAAATTTCTTAATTGAAGAAATTAAAAAATAATGTTTGACAGGAATAGAAAAAGTACTTCTAAGTTGTTCAAAAGACATAAGAGTATTATTCCTAAATATATCAGACACTTTTCTTATACCTTGATCGAACCAAAATTTAAAACCTGCATCCGCCCTACCAGGAAGAAAGTTGTTATTTCCAAATATCAGAGTAAACCTAGACAGTTGTAACATTTCTCCCAAGTAGTTATGTGTTTCTAACCAGATCATTATAGTGTTTTTTAAAAAGGGGTTCTTAGTTTGCTTATTTAGTGTCTTCCTGTCGGCTGAGTAAAGATTAGGGGGAATTTTGATTTCTGTAGACTCCATAGAAACCCACACTGGAGTTTGCTCATTAACAAAATAAAACATTGCCGCTCTGATTTGAGCAGCCCAGAAGTACCACTTTAAATTTGGAAGTTGTAAACCCCTCTTTCATAAGGAAGGTATAGTAATGAGATTGTAGCTGTTGGCATGATGACGTTGTATATAATTTGGATTATTTATTTATCTTGTCAAGATCCATGTCATGATTGTAAATTGTTTAAGCTGTACATTACTTTGTTTGTTTTTTTGTAGTCAACGTTTGGTGCTTTTATTTTGAAAGTCAAGCTGTCTTACAAGTTGCGCTCGTTTCCAGTGATGTGCGATACCACTGATTTCCTTTCCGATCCGATACCAAGTAAAAATCAGGGTGGTATCGACCATACTGATCCGATACCGATACTTTGTACAATAACGTATTTTATTTATTGTATCTTTTATTGTAGCATCATCATGATTACAGGACATCAGATTACTTGTTCTTATCACTTAATAATGCAGAGTTCATCTTATAGAAATAAAAAAACTGAAGTTGTGCTATTTGAACACCTTGCCTG